ATGTAAAGTTCTTATAGGGGTTGCCAGTGACCATGGGTACCCTGAACATAAACTTCCTCTATTACTATCCCAAATTTTAAATAGAAGTCTTGTCGGGTACAATATATCAGAGGTTACTTTCCGTTTTTGTGGGGGGAGCCATATTAAAGAATAAAAATCTTGTGTTCCACAACAATGTGCTTCTATTGCTGCCCATTGCGGAGTATATCTTTGTGGGTTAATAGAGGCTATATTGTTTAAGATTGCAGCAGAATAGTATATTTTCAAATTTGGAAACCCCATACCCCCACTTTTCACTTCTCATTATTAAACCTTTTGAAACTCGGGGATGCTTCCCACCCCAACTAAACCGTAGCAATATAGCTTGTAAAGATGTAATAAATGTTTGTGGAACCTTAATCTGTAATGATCTGAATAGGTAAAGTATTTTTGGTAAAATTTGCATCTTAATTGCTGATATTTTACCTATCCATGATAATGATACGTTTCCCCAGGCTTTCAATTGGCTTTCTATATCTCTAAATAATTTTTTGTAATTGGCTGAAAATAAATCTTTTTCTTTTTTAGTAAATCTGATTCCTAAATAAAGTAGATAATCTTCCCTCCAATCGTAATGGTAATCTAATTTAAGTCTATCCTCTTTAAATTTAGGAATATTAAGACACATTGCTTGCGATTTACTTGTATTGAGCTTATAGTACGAGTTTTGACTATATAAACATAATTCTTTCTTTAAATTTGGTAAAGAGATATGTGGCTGAGTAATTGTTAACAAAATGTCATCTGCATAAGCGTTGAGTTTATATTCGCTCCACCCTATTTGAACTCCCTGGATATCTTCATTTTGGCGTATAGCTGTAAGTAAAGGCTCTAAAGCAAGAACATAGAGCAACGGCGATAAGGGGCAGCCCTGACGTGTTCCATTAGTAATATTAAACGGTCTTGAACAGAATCCTGAAGACAGTACAGTCGCTGTGGGATTACTGTAAAGAGCTTTAATAATTAAAAGAAAAGAAGGAGGAAATTTATATGCCTTCAAGGTTTCACATAAAAAGGTCCAATTCAGACGGTCAAAAGCTTTTTCAGCATCTAAAGATAATACAACGCTTTCCTGCTTGGATGATTTTACAAAATGGTAAATATCTAATACCTTCCGTGTATTATCTGACCCCTGTCTACCTCACACAAATCCCACTTGATCTGTATGAATTAAAGTAGGTAAAATAAACTTTAATCTTTCCGCATATATTTTAGCATATATTTTAGCGTCTATATTCAATAATGAGATTGGTCTAAAATTTTGACAGACCGTGGGGGGTTTCCCTAATTTCGGAATAGTAATTATTTGTGCCGCTAGAAATTCTATAGGGAATTCCCCTGCCTTAGTGCCTTCATTAAAAGAATGAGTCAATGGGTCAGCCAGGGATTCCTTAAACAGGGTATAATACAGGTCGGAAAAACCGTCAGGTCCTGGTGCTTTCCCTTTAGTCATACTCTTTATTTGTTGAATTACTTCTTCCCTTGTAATAGGAGCTGTAAGCTGTGCCATTTGTGAATCCTTTAAAGTAGGTAAGTTTAATTTATCCAAATATTGACCTATTCCTCTAGAAGTTGGTTTTGAAAGATTTTTTTGATCTTTTAAGTTATACAATAAGCCATAAAAGGCTGCAAATTCCTCACAGATCAGCTTTGGCTGAATAATTTTTTGTCCTGTCTTAGAAAGTATAAATGGAATTCTAGATTGAGTTTGCTTATCGCGAAGTCTCTGTGCTAGTACTCTAGTGGCTTTATTGCTCATAGAGTATGATGTCGCCTTAAGTTTTTTCAAAGCGATGTTAGTTTGTCGTTGGTGGATTTCATTAATATCATTTTGTATTTGTTGAATGCTATCTTGTAGAGACACAGATGGTCTTGCCTGATTCTGTTTATGGAAATCTTGGAGTTTCTTTAAGAGATTCAACCTGACTGTTTGATTAGACTTTTTAAGATATGAAGCTCTACTAATAAAAAGGCCTCTTATTACAGGTTTATGCGCCAACCATAATGTTATTGGGTTTATATCTCCGCAATTATTTATATCAAAATATTGGCATATTTCTTGTTGAATTTTATCTAAGAATATAGGATCATTTAATAACTGATCGTTTAGTCTCCATTTGCTTCTATTTGTATAATTATATTGATCCTTTAGGCTAAGTATAACTGGATTATGATCTGATTCTATCGATACTCCAATCTCACAAGATTCAACTTGTGCTAAATGCGAGCTATGCATGTAAAAACCATCTATACGTGAATATGTGTTATGAACTGAGGAGAAAAGCGTATATTCTCTAGTATTAGGATGAAATGTTCTCCAAATATCATAAAGTCCATAATCTGTTAGAATTTTATTAAGAGTATTGCATTCCTTATGTAAGGATGACTTCCTTTTCCTTGAATGTTTTGCTGTTGAATCCATATTAGGATCTAAAATGTGATTAAAATCTCCCATAATAATCGTAATGCCAGTTTGCATTTCAGTTACCTTATTCATAAGTGCGCGCATAAATTTGTTTTGGTTCACATTAGGAAAATAAGCATTCACTATAGTATATATGATATTATTTATTGTACAGATTAAAATAATAAATCGGCCTTCTGGGTCTATATATGTTGCTATCTGTTCAAAAGATAATCGATAGCTGAATAAAATTGATACACCTTTAGTTTTCTTAGGGGATGTTGCATGGTATTGAAATGGAAACTTCTTCAAATTTAATATTGGTTTGGAATTGTGTTTAAAATGAGTCTCTTGTAAACAAATTATGTCAGCTTGTGATTTCCAAATCTCTTTAAGAATCATGAATCTTTTATGAGGTACATTAAGTCCTCTAACATTATGAGAATAAATTTTCATTTTCCCTTTTTTTTCCTTTCCCTTTCTTTTAAAACCGGTGGGTTTTAGTTAAGACCTATGAAATAAGAAGACCGGAGAAGAGAGAGAGAGGAGAGGAAAAAAAAAAGAAAAAGAAAATTCAGAAGTTAGTCTGTACAGCGCTGTGCCGGGCCGCACAGAGCGCTATACAGTACAACCTGAATATGACTTATGGATAGACTAAGTCTAGACAACAGGGTGATACTTAAATAAGTGTCAGAGTATCCAAATGACACTTCTTGGGTGGGGGGTAATGTGAACGGTCAGAGCTATAGAGGCGGCTACGCTGAGCTCCTCTATGCTTAGCTGTCCCAATAATTTAGATTATATATTTCCAAAAATAATAATAATATAAAAAAAAAAAAAAAAATTATATATATATAGTAAATATTCAATTCTAAGATTTGCTCTCAAACAAAGACACCAATACTCGATAACAGATACTCCACTACTATATATAAGGCCGACCTCTAAATAATATAATGCAGAGATAATTCTTATATCATAACACTACTTCTTAAGAATAGGATTTAAGCTTGTCCAGTCCTTTCTTTAAGAACTTATGGTTCTATGCTTCTCTAATCTTTAGCTTGAAAATATACACCTATGTATCTTCATTTATAATAATAGTATATTGCATAATAGCTTAATATTAATAAACATTAATGGTATAGGTCAGCATAACATCCTACTTTTCCATCAGACATTTAAACAATGCAACAAATTATTTAAATAGCACCCCAGCTTACCACTTATATTAACATACATCTAAGCCGTATTGTTATATCTTTATGGATTCTGGTGTCTGTTAGTTGGTGTAAACATTTAATTATTAATATTCAGTCTCCACTCACGTTCCCAAAATTCATATGTATAATAAGGTATAATTTATAATTTATAAAAAGTATACACCTTAATAACAGCTACACAAATTACCTCAGGTCTGTCTTACTTACTTTCTACGCTTCCCTATCCGTTTCTCTTCCTATTATTAAATAATAAGGTCTATACAGATAAGTAAATATCAAATTACCATAAGCAGGGCTAAGCTGGATATACATATGTCTTAGTAAAATTTAAGTAATGTCTCTCCCAAGTGAATTAAACTCAATCATTAATCCCTGTGTCCTTGTAAACCTTATTTAGTATGTTTAAACCTTCGCTAATATATCTATTTAGCCTCTATAGATTAAATTATTAACATTCATTATATTAGGTTGAACTTAATAGATTTGATATTAATCCAAAAGTTCAATCTGTTCCATAAAAAAAAAAAAAAAGGGAAAACCCCATAATAATAACATAGTTTAATGCCTCTTATACCTCTTATACTGTATTTATGTTTAAATAAATAATCTCTTAACTCCTTCACTGATATATATGTATTTAACATATGTGCCTTAGTCCATTTGGTATCAGTCATTATATTAACATATTAATTCATAACTTTAGTATTAGTCCACATATTCAGTCTATTCTATTCCCAATTAATTTATTAATATACCAGCCTAGGTTAAATAATATATAAACAAAGGAAAAAAAAAAAATAGCAGTAATAACAGTGATAATGTCATATCATTAATTCATATTGGATTATATTTGACTAGTTGAATAATTAATACTGCTAATATCCTTTATTATCCCATGCTGCAGTATCTCGTTGCTCATTTTTTTTTTTCCCCTTTTTTTTTTTTTCTGCTTTTTAGTAATGTAAGATTACGTATCTTCATTCTGAGGCAATTAATAATTAATAGTTGGAACTATAATTGCTGTATAATTGCTGTAATGAGTTATCTAGACTGGTCAGTACAACTAACTCCAATAATTAACCCATTAAAAGTTACCAACTTAAACATACAGTTAACATTGCATAATTTTAGTAAATAATAAGATAAATAAGTAACTTGCGGTCTTATGATTCACTTTTCAGGTTGCTCCTTAATCCTGGATTACTTGCTCCAGAGAGGCAAAAAAAAAAAAAGAAAAACAAAAACAAAAAAAAAACAAACAAAAAAAAACAAACAAACACAAACCCTCATTTCAAATCCAAATTCAATTTTTAAGTTCCTTATGAGTCCAAGTTCTTTTGGTTCTTTTTAGTTCTTTTTAGGTCTGAGTACCCGACTTTCTTCTCGTAGGTTCCTGCTATAGTTTTTATCTTGTTCGTGCTGTAGATGTATCTTCCATTTCTGCAGCAGCTCCTCACCTTCTGCAGGAGAGGTCAGTATTATATTTCCCTCTTCTTTAAGAATGATAAGCTTAACTGGATACCCCCATCGATAAGGTATGTTGTTGCTTCTAAGGGATTCTGTAATATCTTTGTAGGTCCGTCTACGTCTCATAGTCTCTGCTGATAAATCTGAAAACAGAGATATTCCTCTAAATCTCTCCGATATATCTTTGTTGTTTCTATGAGCTCTTAAAATCAGCTCTTTAGTATTAAAAAAATGAATCCTTACGAGGACATCTCTTGGTGTGGTAGAGGAAAGATATTGTGGCTTTGGTACTCTATGCACACGATCTAGTACCAGCTTTTCGATTGGAGTATCTGGTAATAAAGTTTGGAAGAACTCTGTAACATAAATTGTTAAGCTTTGTGCACTTACTTCTTCCAGTATACCTCTTAATCGGACATTATTGCGTCGTGACCTGTCTTCCAGGTTCATAATTTTAAGATCTTGGGAGGCTATTCGCTCCTCTAATCGCACAAAACGTTTTCCAGTCTCAGTGCATGAATTCCGTAAATCAATCTCCACATTATGTGTGCGTGTAGCTAACTCTGTCAGGTCTCTCTTAACCTCAGAGATAGCATCTGAGAACGAAGACTGCATTCTACAAACAACATTATCAAGCATAATTTGCAATACTCGCTGTGTAAGTGGAGCCTCCACACTTATACTTTCATTAGGCTGTTCCATCAGTTGCTCCATATCTGAGAACTCCACATGTTCTTGGGGCATGTATTCAGCATGTTTTACGGTTTTAGCTGCAAAAAAAGCTGACTTGTCTCTGATCTCAGTAGGCTTCTTAGTTCGTTGAGCCGCCATAATAGTCAGACAAACCAGAAAGATCGAGCGGGCTGACTAAGCCAAAAGAGCCGGATGAAAAGCTGGATAAGCTGCGTATTCCGGCTATACCCTCCAAGGCGGACCACTTAGACCGAAAAACTGGTTAAACCGGGTCGGTTGTTGCGCCAGGCCAGTCAGGCCAGTCAGGGCTACGGCGGGGCCACCAGAGGATTCGAATTCCAGCAAGGTTACGAACAGGGGCCTATTTTCCCTTAGCCGTCGTTTGAGCCCGAGCCGCCCAAAGCTCGCTTAGCTAGCCGCCGCTCAACATCCGGTCACGCCCCCCTATTCATATCCTTCTAAACGTAGCCTTGTCTCGTTATTGGAGGGAGCTGTTATAATCACACTGGGGATTGCTATGCTCTGCATGCTCTCCTGAGCTTGAGTCACTTTGCTCTTTTAAGAGCTTGTTCCTGACACGCTCTCTTTGGAGGAGGGGTCTTCACCACACAGTCCTGGATGCTGGAGGTTCATACAGGGTGGAAGGAAGAGTTCTTTCCCACACAGTCCTGGAGGACCGAAGCTGATCCAGGGTGGAAGGAAGACGGCGAGACTCCAGTCAAGATACGGCGGTTGCGGAGTCTGCGGTGGTTGCGGTGTCTGCTGCAGTGCTTGGAGTCCTCAGGAAGCGCTAGGAGCATCCATCAACGGAGGGTACTCGGTCGGAGTACAAGGAGCTCCGTTACACCATCCCTCTCTGTTTCCTGATGAACCCAAATTAACTTCTAACCCGATGGTTTCCATTCAAAATACTGAAATGTCTTCATTGTTTAAACAATTAAAGAAGAACCTTGAAAATTCTATGGTCTTGCATAAAAAGAATTATGATACTAAGAGGAGAGCTCCTCCTAAATATAAAGTCGGTGATACTGTTTGGCTGTCTTCAAAGAATATTTCTACAACCCGTCCTTCAAAGAAACTGAGTCCTCTCTTTCTTGGTCCTTTTCAGATTGAATCCATTATTAACGAAAGTGCTATGAAGTTGAATATCCCTCCTTCGCTTAAACTTCATCCCGTTTTTCATGTTTCCCTTCTTAAGCCTTTTCTCCCTAATCCATTCCATAGAGAACAACTGTCTAAACCTGACCCCATCATAGTGCAGGATGAAGAGGAATATGAAATAGATAAAATTCTTGACTCAAGACATCACAGGGGTGGAAGGGTATCAGATGGAATTGTTTTGGGACCGAAGACGACACGTGGGAAAATTCTTTTGATGTACATGCTAAGAAATGGACATGGACAACGTTCTCCTCTACCCAGGTGTAGTAACCAGTTCTTGTGGGTGAGCTATATTACTGATTGTGTTTTGTGGGTGGGCTGCTGGACTAACAAGGGCACTGACCGGCATGAGGTCAGTTACCCTGTTAGTCTGATTGGTAAAGGGGAGAAGTGTGGCGAAACCAACCTCGCCACTGTACACTGGAGAAGCCTGGTTGCTCGCCTGCTCCCTTTAGACTATGGTCCTGCATTTTAAACTTTTATTTTACCGGCAGAAAGGTTTATTCGTGCCTTTCTGCGGACTGTTAAAGCCATGCTACCCCAGATAGCTATGCCATGGAGCCCAGCCATATACTGAAAGACTGTATGAAAGACTTTGGCTCCATGGCGATTGAACTGTATGTATGTGATCTGAGCGCCATTCGGTAGTAATGTGCACTCAGATCTAAGCTATCTGGGGATATGTAGAATGTCTATGTTTTATGGAATAAATGTAACTGTATGTAATTTTAATGTCTTTTATTGTATTGTTACTGCCATGTGGTTAATGGAGTCTTGCCTCTGTCATGGGAGATAATTGCATTACTTCACAATTATCTCCAGGACAGAGAGGAGGGATTGTGATGTAATTGTGGGTGTGTTTTATGGTTCTCCTGTAAACGATTGGTTGTACTGTGTCACACCCTGTGGGATGTCCCCTTGCATGGTGACTTGCATAAAAGCCAGGGTGTGGCCATTACAGAGAGTTCCTGCTTAACCCTCAAAGTGAAGTGTCGTCTCATTATTGGGGGAGGATTTATTGTATGCTGTTCCAGTTTGACTGCTAGGAGTGTAAACCTATTCGCATGGTTTTTCCTATTCAGCTGTATACAACATTCATATGCGTGAGAGCATTCATATGCTCCTACGGGTCGGTGGTTTTGGTGTCTGCTGCAGTGCTTGGAGTCCTCAGGAAGTGCTAGGAGCATCCTTCAACGGAGTTACCCAGTCGGGGTGCCAGGTGATCCGTTACACCGGAGAACATTGTACACACAAAATTGGAAGGCTACTGTGAGGAACTGTTTAAGTTTCTGGGGATGGACTTGGATACAGAATGAAATTCCATGGAAAGATGCCACAAAACAATAAAGCCTAGTAGGGTCACAGACCAATCCCCAAGAGATGTGATTATCTGCCTACGGTCATACAGGGTCAAGACGCATATTATGAAAGCTATTTCGGTCAAAGAACTAAAAGACTCAGCATATCAACAAATTAAGATCTTCCAAGATCTTTCTTTCCAGGCGAGATCTCAAATGCAATACAGACAGCGATACTTAGGGAAAAAGAAATCAAATATGCATGGGGATTCCCGACAAGCATAAACCTAACTTACGACAATCAGAGGTTAATCTTTGAGAAACCACAAACACTAAAAAAATGGATGCAAGAAAAGAATATAATATGAGAGGAAGGGAAATTATTTTTTTTTTAGAATTCTAAGCACAGGAAATGAAAAACACAGTAGTAAATCACTATATGGGCACTAATCTAATTGTTACTTGTCAAAGTAAGAAAAATAATCTTGACAAAAAGAAGTTAACCCCTTAAGGACACAACTTCTGGAATAAAAGAGAATCATGACGGAATATTTCCGTCATGTGTCCTTAAGGGGTTAAAACACCATATATATGATTGATGAATAAAAAAATGAAGGGAAATAAATACAGAAATATAGATCTAGAAAGATTAATTGAATTTAAATAGACACCTATTTATTTGTCTATTTTGTCTTCTCCCTTTTGGGAGTCCTAAACACAGGAATTGAAAAACATAATTGTAAATCAATATAGAGGCACTAATGTAATTGATGTCTGTCACAAGAAGGAAAGAAAAGGAAATTTGATAAAGAGAATAGGTAAAAAAATCAATATATAGGCACTAATATAATTGATATCTGTCACAGGAAGGAAAGAAAAGGAAATCTGATATAGAAAAGAGGTTAAACTAGCACAGATACGATTGATGAATAAAGGGATGAAGGAAAAAAAATTTAGATTCAGAAAGAGTAATTGGACTTAAAGGAATTTTCTTTCCCCTCTTCTTATAGATACATTTCTCCTGGCCAGGAGAATACTTTAGCTCACAGATTGTTGGCAATTTTGTGAATCTAAAGAAGGGGTTATAAGCGACACTCGCAAGAGGCATATTGTCGCTATTTGATCTTTCTCCCTGGGGCTATGGGATACCCGGGGTTGGAGAAAGATAGGATGGAGGAGAGATACATTGATCTATGCCTAAGTAAAGGCAGAAAATGTATAGAGATGTGTGGATGTAAATGTTTGTATGTGAAGATGATGGACCTCCTAGACTCCATGTGGAAAAAAATAAGAATAGGAAGATAATATGAGATTTGCAACAATTAATGCACAAGGAATCAATTCGCATTTTAAAAGATATACAATCCTTGAATTTTTGAAGAAGGAGCAAATACATATAGTGGCCATACAGGAAACACACCGGAAATTAGAGGAAAAAATAAAACTCAAGTCCAAGCTATTTCCCACTAGAATTAATGCATCTGTAAGCCCCCCCAAAAAAGAGGGGTAGCTTTTTTGTTTTCGAAGAATGTCTCTTTGAAAATTGTTCACCAAGAACTTGATACAGAAGGTCGATACATAATTTTAGTGTGTGAAATTAATAACCAAAAATATGCCATAGTTAATATTTATGCCCCAAACCAGGCACAGATTCCATTTATTAGAAAAATATTTAATAGAATTGACCGTGTTAAAACTGGTCGAATCATTGTTATGGGAGACTTTAATTGCGTCTTAGATGCAGATTTGGACAGGAGTCCTAAATTAAAAGGCAATAACTATAAGAAGGTAAAAACTAACAGGAAAAATGTTTCTGAATTAGTCAAACAAAATGAACTGTTAGATTATTGGAGGATATTCCATGTAAGAGAAGGAGATTTTTCATGCTTCTCTAAAACTTTTTGCTCATACGCTCGAATCGATTTAATTTTGGGGGATAGAAATTTAGTGAAACAGGTTAAAAAAACCTTTATAACAACCACAACGTGGTCTGATCATAACTCAATTATACTA